AAAAACTTAAAAAAAAAAAAAAAAAAAAAAAAAAAAAAAAAAAAAAAAAAAAAAACACTTTTTCATTAAAAAATAAATAAATAAATGAAAACAGAAAGAGGACGGATGCAAAAAAACGAACCTTTGTGCCTGTCCACCATGTAGTAGCCCTTGGCTTTCAGATTCTCCAAAAAAATAACCGCGTCCTCGTCGATCTCCTTAGTGCCCGGCTCCCGCGACACCCTTGCCCCGTAAAACCTCGGCACAGCGTCGAAATCGGGCAGCAAACTCCTGTAGACCGGTATCAGAGTTTCGTACAAAAAAATCTCCTTCTTAAAGGTAAAGCCACTATCAAACATCTCCCGCTGAAAGTCCGTGGGTGGTAGCATTTTCGCCACCAAATCCAGGACCTCTGGATGATCCTTTCCATCCCCGTCGTCCCGACTCAATTTCACGCGTACTTTTTTTATGGTACTGCCGTAGTTGTCGCCCGTCTTGACAAAGTCATCGCTCTCGAAATCGACCACTCGGATTTCACTGCCCAGGCACCGGCGAAGCACCGATTCGGGATCGCGAAGGACGATCTCGTAGTCCTTGTGCTCGACCCACGCCATACTATACGGTACGCGCACTTTCAAGCTCGCATCAGATGATTTTCATGTATTTTTCAAGGTTCGCGGGGGGGAGCCGATCTTTCGGATGCTGTACACGTGCAGCTACTGCCAAGGACCTTGCGCAACCGTGCGCGCTTGCACTATGATCGTGAAGCACAACCGCGGCTGTGATTTATATACGCGCGTGTATATATATATATAGAGGGAATCGTTGCTAATATTCGTGAGTACAAGTTATAAATATACCCGAGTTGTGCGACTGATGGCGAATGATGCTGCTAATGTGGGGGTCGGATGGCCCGGGATAATTGATACATCTATACGTACAATGCAGGCATAACAACAATACCTAACGCACAGATTTTTTTACTGTTTAATTGTGGTTTTTTTTTTTCCCTCCGAACAACCGTTGTCTGTACCATTGGGAGTTAAAATAGCGTATTTACCAGAATAACGTCTTTTATGTTGGAAAGTGGGTGGCTCGATAGGGGAAAAAATGCAGTGTGCCGTTGTAAAAATCAACACACCCGCACGCGTGTGCCTTTGCTCGAAGCGATAAGCATCATTGTATTGTTTCGCTTTTTGATTAAAAAATCGTTGGAATTGGATGTTAACATCCAGTCTTGAGGGTTTACTAAATGTCAAGATCAAATATTGCACAACGATAAATTTTCGTTATCATTATGAGACTCGTTCAAGCAATGTTCATTCAATATATGTATTGCGGGCTGGATTTTGTACGTCTGATATCCAAAAATTACCTGATAAAAAAACCTGTAACTTTTTTTTATTCAGAAAAAATAGTCTCAAAATATGTGCAGCATAATTATCCATTGTTTGGATCGTAACAAAAATTCTTTATGAAATTTAGTATTAAAAAAAAAAATGTTTCTACATAAATGCAGCTCTGTTTCACCAATTGTTACTACATAATTTTTCCATCCAATATTGAGATCTTAAATCAACTACTGTTATATTCTTGAGAGACAACGTAAAAAAAATTCATTTTAAAAAACTTGTAACACTATAGTTGATTAAAGCTATAATTCTAACGATTTGCAGTTATAATTTAAAAAAAAAAAAAAAAAAAGTAAACGAAACAAAAAAAAAATTACTCATCGATTTTTGACAGAAAGTTAAACATAATAGTTCACTGCGTAGCGATGGAGTCCCTCAAAGTGACACGGCATCATTCGCTTGATATAACTTATTTCGAGTATAAAACGGTCAATGCGTCAAGGTCACGCTGAGATGAGGTAATCGGTATCGAGGTGTCCACTATACCCTGATGCTCCATGTCATTGATAATGGAGGTAATGAACCTTTGACACGGACAGCACGTCGTAATAAAATGATGAGAGGAATATTGCGTAACACACCTTTTATACGCACATTCATTCAAGTGTGCCTGAAACTTTAAACATATAGTATTAACAGTCATGTACGTATACGGTTAATTTTTTTTTTTTTTTTTCTTCAACTCGGCATTTTTCAAAATTTCGCAAAACAAGTACCGCAGTTGCGGTTGAAGTATACGCGTTTGCGAAATGTAGTAAATTAATTTTTGCATTGCCCGATCGGAAGTTTTACAATTTCTGTCATTTGTCTTTGCTGTTATTTTATTTTTATCATTTTTTTTTTGCTGTTAGCATATTTTGCATGAAGAATCTACATATTGTTGTAATACGAATTTAATAATTTTGAAAATTTACGAGATTACACCCATTGCCTTCCAAATTTTTAATTTATCAGTTTTATTGTCCTATAAGTGTAGCGTTGAAAAATATATGTTTTACTTTGGTAAAGTAATTGTGATAATAATTATGTTCAAATAATTGTGATGAAAATTACACAAAATCGTGATGACTTAGGTAATTAATAGATAATCGTATTCATATTTACAAGGTTACTTTACTCTTTAAAGTTTGTATAATAAATTTGAATCGAGCCAGTGCTCGGATGGCGAGCTTCAGGTGCGACGTGTCCAAGCCTGGAATTTTTTTTTTTTATTTTTTTTTTTNCGGGGAAAAAAAATTCTGAATAATTTTATTTAATTCACGTTCACTTACTGTTATATCTGTCAAGAAGAGATGATAAAAAAAAAAAGCCGCACGATCGAACAAAAGAGGAGAGCGACGAGCAAAAGGCGTCGACGCCGAGTAGAGTGGTGTACGATTAAGTAAACTGCCGCAACAAAGCAAAGGGAAAGAAATGGAACGAGCAACCACAAAAAACTGAGAGCAAGCCAGCCACCGCTTGTTACTGTAGACGCCTGACGCCGGCAACTTTATCTTTTCCTATATGGATACGTCGTACGGGTACTAGACGAGTGTGGGGGAAAAAGACGGCTCGTGAACACACCACAGCTTCAACTGTATAAAATTATTGATGTATTTTTATCGTTGAAAAAACATTTTTTTTTTGCTCGCAAAAAGAGCCAACAGACAAGATAATGACGCCAACTGGATAACTTGTGAATTTATGCGTGTATGTCAGTGTTACAGGGGCGTATTTTAATTATATGCATTCGTTATAGAAGACCTCGTCGTCACTTATTAAGTGTCCATTCAATGCCTTTTGTTCTTAGTAGCGCGAAGAGATTATTTACAAATTTAAAACATGTACACAGAATCACTATCTTCTACGCGTTTTTATCTTCTTGTTGCAATGAATCGCTATATAGTTGCTCCTTTTAATGTTTACTTTAAGAAATTGAATAAATTAAAAGAAAGTTTTTTGTACGAAAATAATTGTTATATTTACATTACCGTTAAATTAAAAATTAAAAATTCTAAATTTTCCAATTACAATTGTCCAACTAATTTATGCACTAGGATCCAGCTAACCGCTGCTGTTTTCTGGTGAGATACCTCTGCAGAGCAGCCTCAAAAGTAGGCCCATTAGGGTATCATGCATGTACTTAGTTATTGTTATTTTAAAGTGCAATCATGCAATCATGCAATAATTTCGAGTTTATGTGAGCATTAAGAATACATTCAGAGATCAGCTGAGAAGCCTTTGGTGCTGGTATGAAAAAAATATATACATTTGATCGTCGTTTGTTAGAAATGATTAACGAAAAATTGTTATTAATCACAATGTAAAAAAAAGTGAATGATTAACCATTGAAAGTTTTGATGAGAAAAAAAAACGCTATAAATGGATTATCATCTTATTTCATGATAACATTCATATTTTGTGAAACAAATTTCAAATTTTTTAAAATGCAATGAGTCAACATATAAATGAAAGTCCAAAAATTTAATGACAAAAAATAAACATGTCATAAAAAAATATTAACGTCGAATAATTATATAAAAATAAATTAAAAAAAAAACATTTTAATCACTCTTTATTCATTAATATAAAACTATGTACCGGATCACACGTCTTTCTGAGAATGACATGTTATAGGTTCGACGTCCTCTTCGATCAACTTTTGATGGATAGCACTGAGAGCCTAGACATTGCAAAAGTTATTTGCAGGAGATATTTTAAGAAATACAAAAAAAAAGGAGAGAAGTTAATAATCTAAGAAAATTACCCCTCCACAGTAGCCTTTTTCCATAGAAATCAACCTAGTTTATAAGTATATATATTTACCAGAGCAATAAGTGTAATTTTTTCCCGGGCATAAAATGATTTATTAGGATATAAAAATTGTTTTATGGATACGATTAGATTTTAAGGGTAGAGCTCCTAGAATTTTATAGTTTATAACTTGAAAAATTTCACAAAAGGATAATACTATTTAATCATTATTAATCATTACTAAAAGAATAATAGAATTTTTGAAGAAAAAATGTGTTAAAGACAGTTGGACTTACGAAGCGCAGAAAAAAATGTTAAGTTTAAATGTAATGAAACCGAAATGAACTTAAGTATAAAAAAATGGTAAGAGTTTCTGTGACACACTTTTTGCTCTGCTATTAAAATCTAACGGTCGTTCCTAATATATGTAAGGGCGTAACTCTTTGCACGTAAATTTGACAACTAATATTTAATATTTATAAAATACCTTAAAGTACTTGACAGTTTTCACTCTCAACTCGAGAGTGGCGTCCTCATCACAGATAATAATAGTCCGTGGATGCTGCTGGAAGGCAGATACAGTCCACATGTGATTAATACCCTCCTCTATCGCCTTGTAGAGAGCAAAGGCCTTGTGGGAGCCGGTAATGAGTATCATGACCTCCTTGGCGTCCATGACAGTACCGACACCGACGGTCAACGCCCGCTTTGGAACCTTTTTTATGTCATTGTTGAAGAATCTTGCGTTGGCCTCTATGGTTTCTTGGGCCAAGGTTTTTACTCGCGTTCTCGACGCCAATGACGAGCCAGGCTCGTTGAAGGCTATGTGCCCATCAGGTCCAATACCTTCGATTTTTCATGTAAATAAAATAATCCACGGTCGATTTTATAGTTTTGAAATGCATTGAGATTCATCATCACCTCCAATGAAAAGTTCTATTCCTCCAGCTTCGCGTATTTTTCTTTCAAATTCATTGCACTCGTGCTCCAAGTCTGGGGCATTGCCATCAAGAATGTGTGCGTTTTCAGGACCAATGTCGATGTGCTTGAAAAAGTTGTTGTACATGTAATAATGGTAGGATTCTGAATGACCCCTCGGCAGGTGAACGTATTCGTCCATGTTGAAAGTTTTTACATATTTGAAGGACAGTTTTCCAGCTTGGTGGTATTCTATCAACTTTTTGTACATCCCAAGTGGAGTGCCACCTATAAAATAAAAATATTCAAGACAATCTGCCTAGCATGGAATACTTTGGATAAATATTAACTTACCTGTTGGTAATCCAAGGACAAAATATTTATCTTCGTTTGGCTGAAAGCTCTTTATCCTCTTCATAACATATTTCGCTGACCATTCAGCAACATTATCAGCATCGTCGCAGATAATCAGACGCATTATTTTTTTTGTTTGAGAAAACTGTTGAGAAAGTTAACACCACTGATTATTTTTAACGACTGGTGTAAACAAACGCAATGATACAATGGACACAGCCTTTCTTGGAACTATTGAGGGCAAAATCTAATACAACTTGTTCAACTTTACATCAAACCAACATAATTCTTATTATTGTCGAGAAAGTCCGTTGATTTATAAAAAATTACATAATAATTATGCTCCTGTTTTCTAATATTCGCTTATGTATTGATGTAGTTTAATTAATTTTTAAAATTCATAATACCACAAATAACATTTTTTTTCTTTTATATCTTTTATATTGCTGTTGTAAGTGTTCACCAAAATAAGGTCAATTAAAAACGATTTCAGATTAAAATACATTTCAAAGAGTTATGAGTTGGATAAAATAAAAAAAAACTCTGTAGGTATATACAGATGGTATGGCCAGACAAAAAACTGAACAGAACACTCATGCACCTCTCATTGACCTTCAAAAAAGAGCTCGTATCAAAATCAATATTAAATAATCTTAGAATTTTTCAAATTAAACAATTTA